ATTCTCGCCGGGCTCCGCGCGCCGCTGGTAACCCTACACCCAGGGCTCGCCTTTCGGGGTGGAAGCTGAGGAATGCCTTTTGTGTGGACAAGTTTTCCGGAGGAGCCGGCCGCCCTCTCTGTGGGGCCGTCCATCGCTCCGTGGGGCCGTTTCCTCCGAGACCAAGGTCGATGGTTCCCGCTCTCCAGAGGCGTGAGGGAAACCCGGAGGGAACACGGTCCGCGCATCCCATCTGCCCCGGTGCCGGCATTGCCCGCCGCCGCCTTGGGTGGGGACCGGTTCTCAGGGTCCTGGGGACTCCCGAGCAGACCACTTTCCGCAGCGCAGGGCAGGGCGGGGGTCGCAGCCAGGGGCCGCAGCCAGAGACACTCCCTGCAGCCGCGGCCCAAACCAACAGAGCTTACTTTCTCCTTCCACCCAGAGGGGGTGACCGAGCCTCACCTATTTCCAAGCCTAGTTTTTCACAGACGGGAAGCAATAAAAGTGGCCTCAGGAGATTCCGGAAATCTCTACAAAGAGAAAGTGCCCGTTCGTCTTTCCTTCAGCCGACAGGCTTCGCTGTCAAGCATGGGGTAGTTGTGCACCTCCGGATGGCAGGACAGACACAGCAACAGTAAGGGCCGCGCAATGTACCCGTGCAGGCGAGGAGGGGAAGGACGTTTTCTAGAGGGGCTGCCTCTTGAGTAAGGAGGGGGTTACTGTCACAAGGTGGGGAAAGGGGCGTCTGGCAGGGCAACAGGAGAGCGGAGCCTGGGGAACTGTGAGTGGATTGGCCTCTTGGCAATTTAGGAGCTTGAGAGATTATCCAGTGCAAACCCTCTGGGTCACAGTACAGGCCCAAGGTTGTGTCAGAGGCTTCGAACCAGAGCGACTCCATCTTGTGTGAGGGTGAGGAAATGAGGCTGGGACTTGCTGGGCCGCATTCCCAGTGAGTTAGCTATTCACAGCTTCTAGATATTTACGGTTAAGAGGACAAATTAACGTTTACTAAACGACCTAGACTTAGGAGTGTCCTGATAATCTTGAGAACAGACTCATTCCTAATTATGCTTTAAAGTTAATAATATCGATTATTGCAAAATATAGTAATTTAGAAAATTAATCCTTTATCACAAACCTTTGTAGCAGAGCACATCTCCCCATGATCTTTTTTTATCCTATGTAAGTATTAAGTATTGCACCTAGGGTGGACGCGTTCCTCCTCTTACTTTCTAGAACTCCCTCCTCTGTCTATGGAGTAGCTGTACTTTCACCACTTTACTTTCTTACTAAACTTGCTTTTGCTTTGCACTGTGAACTCACCTTGCCTTTTTTTTTTTTTTTTTTTTTTTTTTTTTTTGAGACAGAGTCTTGCTCTGTTGCCCAGGCTGGAGTGCAGTGGGGCGATCGATTCTCCCCCCTCAGCCTCCTGAGTAGCTGGGACTACAGACATGCACCACCACACCCAGCTAATTTTTGTATTTTTAGTAGAGATGGGGTTTTACCATGTTGGCCAGGCTGATCTCGAACTCCTGACCTCAAGTGATCCACCTGCCTTGGCCTCTCACAGTTCTGGGATTACAGGCATAAGCCACTGTGCCCAGCCTTGCCCTGAATTCTTTCTTGTGAGAGATCCAAGAACCCTCCCTTGTGGTCGGATTGAGACCCCTCTCCTGTAGCAGTTACACAGCTCTGGTGACAGGCGGTCTCCAGGGTCCTGGGTGACCTCTTCCCTCCCCAAAACTCACCATGTTCCCAGAACAAGAAGTTCCTCTAACAAAGCATTGGCTGCTTTTGCTTCTTAGTATTGATTGCTTCATAGAGTGGTGCCTGCACTGTTTGCAGAGGGCATACTGGGCACCAGACATTGGCTAAGCAGTTTAAATTCGTTATCTCATATTTCAGCCTTAAGAAGTGGGCACCGGCTATTGTCTCCTTTCTGTAGACACTGAGTGTAAGTGAACGCCCCAGGATCCACAGCTGGGTAAGTGGCAGTCCAGTCTCCTAGAGTCCAGGCCCTCATGCCAATACACTGCACAGCATCTGCCTGTTCAACATGGAAAGATTTAGTTTAAAAAAAAAATCAAAAGATTTGTGAAAAAAAATCATGAAGTGCTGTGATACTGAAAATGTGCTGGCACAGTAGCTTGGCCCTTCCTGGCTTTCTTATTCCAGCCATCTAAGTTAAAAGCCCCTCAAGACTCCTTCCTCTCCTGCATGCCCAGTGTTAAGCCTGACAGCAGCAACACTGTTACTATTATTGGGGGCATCCTATGAGCTAAGGTACCCCACGTAGGATCCTTTACATCTTTACAACAACCACGCAAAATAGGTATAGTGTATCGCCACTTAACGAAATGCAGAGAAGTTAAGTAGCTTGCCTAAGGCCACACAGCTAGTATAGCTAGAATCTGAACCCCAGCTCTGTCTGGTTCCAAGATTTTCTGCCTTGCTTCCTCTTTATAGAGGCACCTCTGAATTCAGACTCCACGGCTCCTGCTCCCACCACCCCCCCCACAGAAGTTAATGATCTATAAGGCAAGTTTCTGAAAGTTCCAGCAAAGGTTTAATGTTTAAAGAAAACCTGCCTCCCCCTAATCTTTTGAGATGCAAATCATCACTTTCAGTTTATTTGGGTTAAAGCTTTTTTCCGCGCACGCCCCCCCCCCAACCCCGCCCAGGGGAGTGGGGCGTCACATCTATACCAAGGCCTTAAAAGCCACCTGTCCTAAAGATACCCATGGGCACATCCTTAGAATGCTGTTGAATTACATCTACATGTCGAGGGCATTCTTGTTCATCTGGATTCTGTTTGGTTTAGCAGATATTTGTTGAGCTCCTATGAAATGTCAGAGACTGCAGAGACAAAATTTAGCACCGCAGACCCTACTTTTGAGGAATTTCTGGTCGAGTTGGGGAAGGGCAGGCACACACACTTTCTGTATACGTGCGCCCATCCAGGTCAGCATAAGGTAGTGTAGGATGCTCACAGAAAAGGCTAGATTGAGGAATGTGTGTTGGGTGAGAAGGGGTACCACGGAGAACTGGGTCTTGGAGAATGAGCAGGAATTAGCCAGACAGAGGGGGAGGGGTGAGAGAAGGCATTTCAGGTAAAGAGATGAGCATAAACGCAGGCTCAGAGGTGTGAAACTGCCTAGTTTCAGTGTTACTAAGTGTAAACTTTACCCAGGAAAGGCAGGGGAAGGATGAGGTTGCAGGGCAGGGGAGGTTGGGTCTGGGTGAGGAGCTTGGACCCCACCCTGTGACTGGCAGCCCCTCGGGTGTGGTCTTGACCAACACCTTAGCCCTTGAGCCTGGCACATAACAATCTTATTTATTTCCTTATGCATCAGACACTTCCATTATCTTCTGGAGGGAAGTCTAAGAGGAAAACAAAATGTAAACAGTGATCACAAAGCCCCTTCCTCTGCTGAACAACTAGGGAAATGGACCATCCCAAGAAGCCCCTTTGACTTACTCTGAGTGAAAATACAAGCCTCACCCTTCCTCCCAACTTTCCAACCTGCTCTGAAGGTTGGAAATTCGGCGCCACGTGCGCTGCAGAAACTAGGTTTCACTTAGGATGAAGGGAAAAGTGAGGGAGATGGTTCTTCCAGCTCACACCATTAGAGCAGAGTGGGGCAGGAATGGGGTGGGGGCACACTTCTAGCATCCCTCGACTGTCCAGCCTAAAGGAGTTTGTCCAAATGGAAACCTGCATTTCCTAGTGGTTCCTGTCTTGCTCACAGGAACATGGTCCAAGGAGGCAACTGATCTGAGCAGCAACTGCTGAGGACCCCATTCCCAGCCCCAGGTCTGCCCTCATCACTTCCTCCAGCAGAGGAGTGAGGGCACGTGCCGGGTCTACCACGCAGCTGCTTCCTCTCTCCCAAAACCCTCCCGCGGCTCCCCTGTACTCCCCACAGCGCTGCTGGGAAGGCTGATTCTGAGGCCTCACCTGTGCAGATTTTGATTCCTTAGGTTGGAGCAAGGCCCAGGAACCTGTTTCCTTCCAAGCTTCCCAGGTGATGTTGAGGCCCGGTCAGTTTGGGGAAGCGCAGGGCCTCGAGTTAAAACTCCAAAGCCTTTGCATGGCACGTGGGCTCATCTCTCATCCCAGCCCCGAGAGCCTGCCCTGCTTCCTCACCATATTGAGTTGCTTCTAGTTCCCTGACTGGTGACACTGAGTCCTGTCTCCTTGCCTTGGCCCAGGCATTCCTTCAGCCTGAAATACCTGCTTCACTCCACACACACACATCCTGCTATGGACTGAACTGGGGCCCCCTCCAAATTCATATGTTGGTGCCCTAACCCCTCTGTGGGATAGTATTAGGAAGCGGGGCCTTTGGGAGGTGATTAGGGTTAGAGGAGGTCATGACAGTGGGGCCCCCACG